CTACATGGAAACATAATTAGCGTTTGCATAATATATTTTTGAATGCAAAAATAAGGTCTCTTTGTTACAGAGTTTGAGGGGTGAGTTGTTTTGTTTGAGTGCAGCATAATGCATTCCTGCCTAGGGCTCAAAAAGAAAATAACAAGACCAGGACCAAAATATCTGAGCTTGTGGTACCCCTTTTCTAATGAAATTAGTTTCCTTCCCTTCTACAGAATTGGTTCCTGGAGTCTGTAATTCACCCTCTTAGCTCCATTCCCCTTCCCAGTGGGGTGTCATCTATATATATATATTTTTTGACAAGCTTTTAATGCCTGCATTACAGGCTTAGAAATACAGTGGTACCTCTAGATGCGAACGGGATCTGTTCCGGAGCCCCGTTCACATCTAGAAGCAAACGTAACCAGCGACGGCATGTCTGCATGTGTCGCTTTTCACCGCTTCTGCACATGACGTCATTTTAAGCGTCTGCGCATGCGCAAGCAGCGAAACCCGGAAGTAATGCGCTCCGTTACTTCCGGGTTGCCACGGAGCGCAACTCGAACACACTCATCCCGAAGCACATTCAACCCGAGGTATGACTGTACACCAGGTCACACACCACAGAAATGCAGTGATGGAGAAGCTACACCTGTTTAACTTCTCCCTCCTACACAGCTGTCCAAGGCACAGGAGTCCTGTTCAAAGAGAAATGTCATGCCTCAATAAACCTTGGAAGTCCAGCTCCTGCTGAAGACTTAAATAACTCCCTACCTTAATCAGGATCCCTCCTTACTCAATGGCTTACCTAAACTGCTGTTTTGGTGAGTTGTCCGATTGAGTGACAAGGCTTCAAAGGCCGCATTCGGAGCAATCACAAACCCCGCCACCAGCAGGGAGGCAACAAAATTCATCAAGACCAAAAAACGGAGAAAGTTAAAGTAGGACTGGATCCCTGTTCCAAACTGGCCTGTGTGGAGAGAAGATGACAAGTTGGACAAGCCCATGAAACACAAAACATGTCCTACTCTGTCCCCCTCGCCACTAAACGTTTAAGAGCCCCTTCCCCATACCTCCAATGTGGCGAAGCGTGCTCCTCCACATCTCCCCATAGGCGACCGCTGAGCTCGCTTGGCTCCTCACACGCCGGAAAGTCCTCCGTTTCCATACATGCCAGAGCTCCCAATCACTCAGCCTGCTGGCTGCTTGCTCCTGCAGAACTCTTGAAAGGGGGTGGAGGATCAGGGAGGAGGAAAAGAACCCAGGTGGCTTATTGGGAACCTCAGAGTGTTGACATGAACTAATACAGCACCATATCTCAAAATGCTATAAAACGCTGCCCCTCAGCTTCTCTACATGTTAATTAATTTTCCACACAAATGTGTCATGGAGGCCATATCCACACAGCAAATGGAATCTCCTAAAGGACCCTGGGAACTGTAGCTTCCTCCACAGAGCACTTCCCAACATTTCCCGGTGAACAAAATGCAGTTCTCAGTTATTTGAAGAAAGCTGTGTGCTTCAAATGGATGCGGCTGTGACCTATAGATTAAGCGTTAGTTGCTGTGCAGCACCCTCCAGTCAAGACACACCCCTCCCCTTGCAACCTGTGTCCCCCCCCCCACAACTGGGCACACCTGTCTTTTAGAAGAAATTCATCAAACACTTATTCTCTTTCCCAGGTGTTCTTGCTTCCCTTTTCTCTACCCCATGAGAATGTTTGGAAAACCTGGGGTCTTCTTTTCCTGTCGGGGCTGTATACAGGAGGTGGGGAAGGGCCAGAGAAAAATGGTTTGGTGATAACCACAGGTGGGCGGGGCCATCTCCTTTTTTCTCTCCCTCTTTTTCTGTCACCCCCATTTGATATTCAGGGTGCTGGGAATTGTAGCTCTGTGAGGGGGTAGACTACAGTTCCCATGTTTCTTTGGGGAGGGGAATGTGCTTTAAATGTTATGGTGTGTATGCAGATAAGGTCTACATCTACATTAAATTAAGCTGAGGGTTGCATGTGCCCTCGGGCCACAGGTTGCCCAAGCCTGCAGCACCTCGGGTTTTCTGAGTATCAGTCCTCACCCCCTTCTCTCAAGGTCCCAGGCGTCCTGGCACTACCTGAGCTTCCGTTTCTCCTCAAGGCAGAGGGGCAGCTCTTTCAGTGGCTTGCTGTCTTCCTCTTCCTCCCCTCCTACAAATCCTGGGACAAATTCCTGAGGGTCAACCTCAGGTTCGGATGCCCCCTCCCAAGCAGCTCCCCAGGCCGCTGCCTTGTTGCCACGGAAACGCAGTGTCTGGTTGCTTGGCAGCTGGAGATAGAGAGATGGTGGGCCATGGCGACCCCAGCTGGACCCTGGAGAGAGGAAGCAGAATAAGACAGGAGGCATTCATGGCTCAGAAAGGAGCAGCCCATTTTCAGTACACCCTGCACCAGATATCAATCCATGCATATAGAAAAAGCCAACATACTATCTAGGCCATGGGTAGGCAAACTAAGGCCTGGGGGCCGGATTGGGCCCAATCGCCTTCTAAATCCAGCCCGTGGATGGCCCGGGAATCAGCGTGTTTTTACATGAGTAGAATGTCTCCTTTTATTTAAAATGCATCTCTGGGCTATTTGTGGGGCCTGCCTGGTGTTTTTACATGAGTAGAAAGTGTGCTTTAATTTGAAATGCATCTCTGGGTTATTTGTGGGACATAGGAATTCATTCATCCCCCCCCAAAAAAATATAGTCCGGCCCCCCACAAGGTCTGAGGGACAGTGGACCGGCCCCCTACTGAAAAAGTTTGCTGACTCCTTCTAGGCCACACTGACACCATACATTTAAAACATTATGGCACCACTTTAAACAGTCATGGCTTCCCCAAAGAATTCTGGGAACTGTTAAGGGTGCTGAGAATTGTTCAGAGACCTCCTTATTCCCCTCCCATGGCTACAGTTCCCAGTTCTCCTGTGAAGGAGTGGTTGTTAAACCACTCTGGGAATTGTAGCTCTGGGGCTGTTATTATTACCATTACATGCCCTTCACTAGAAGGTCCCAGATTCTATCTATACGCTCGTTGTCAAGTTCCACAGCATCTCTCCTTAAGAGGGCCTGACATGTTTATACCACCCCCTCCCTGAAAAGTCGGCCATGGTGAACCAGAGGTTCCCCAACTGCCAATGAGTTTTCCTCAGAAGTCTTTTTTTTTTAAAGTGGCCCTGCAAATGGAAGCTGATTCCATTCTCCCACTTTCAGATATGCTTTTAATTAAATCACATTCCAACCCCTTCCAGGATTCTGTTTGCAGAAACACACAATGCTTCCAGATCAGGCAGCGACAGTGGGAGAGTAACAACAGATTTCAAAAGCTAGAGGATTTTTGTGACTAATCAGTCCCAGATCAAACCAGCAATCTATAGGGGGGAAAGACCACCGCATACCTGCTTTGTCTCCTCTCCTCTCATAACTGCTTTCCTGGCCATCGCCCATGGCTGCAGGTTGTATTTCTCTAGTTTCTGTTCAGTGCACTTTACTCTTGCCAGTAGAAGGAACAAGGAACAAGGAACTAAGACAAGGCTGGGCATGGATTAATGATTTCTCCGGATTGGCTTGTCCCATGAACAAAGGCAGTAACTTGGCAACAAACAGACCTGAAGCCTAGAAGCAGTAGCAGTGGCAAAGAGATGTTTATCTTTACTACAAGACCTTTTAAAAGTGGTATAGTTGCCTCTGGAATAGTGCGTGTATGTTGACCCTTTGGAAACACTTTTTAAAAAATTTGATCAAAATAGAAATCAGGCCATTTGAGGTGCTATGCAGTCTCAAACCTGGGTGTACCACTCAACAGGAAGTTGACAAGCATGTGTTGGTAATAAATCTGTTTGCTGTTTTGTCACATTCACACATGACACACTTGAGTGTGTATATACAGTGGTACCTCGGGTTACATAGGCTTCAGGTTACATACGCTTCAGGTTACACACTCTGCTAACCCACAAATAGTGCTTCAGGTTAAGAACTTTGCTTCAGGATGAGAACAGAAATCGTGCTCCGGCGGCACAGCAGCAGCAGGAGGTCCCATTAGCTAAAGTGGTGCTTCAGGTTAAGAACAGTTTCAGGATAAGAATGGACCTCCGGAACGAATTAAGTACTTAACCTGAGGTACCACTGTACTATTTAAGATATCTTAAGGCTTATGTCTAATCAAATAATGTGCTTTCGGTCTTTTAATAGTAAAGTCACCAGAAGGGTCCTTTAAAACAGCACAGAGATCCACACGGCATCATCGTCTGACATGGAAAAGGTGAAGCTGCAGAGGCTTCTGATACTGATAGAAGTTTGTGGGGATTTGGTTGAACAGTAAGACTTGCGACGAGCTGATTTGAACTGGAAAGGAAAAACAGCAAAGGATTCTGGGATTACTGCTGCTTATGCATATAAAAAGTGAGATCAGGCTGCAGTGAAGTGTGTGGACCATTAGAGCAAATGGGGCACTGCTACACCATCCTCAGTCTGCCCTCAGCCCCACCTGCCTGCCTTCTTACTTACAGCCCAGTACAGGGGATAGTATTGTCTGCCAGCTTCCTCCTTCTCAGTCTCAGTGTTAACTGTTGTAGAAGTCATAGAATTGTAAAGTTGGAAGGCACACCAAGGGTCATCTAGTCCAACCCTCTGCAAAGCAGGGATCTCAAAGCATCCATAACAGGGAAGAAAAACAAGAAAACACACTGCCAGACACTGGTTCCCTGGCTCCACCTACCACTTGGGCTCCTTGCCTTGCATCCTACCAATCACAAATGGGCACCAGCCATCACTGGACCTGAGATAGCAGAAGGAAATCAGAGTTGCTTTATATGTCCAGGGAAGGATTCTTGCAGTTAATATAAGTCCACTTTCAAATTACATGTGGCAATTATTTCTATGCTGGGAACTGCTGAAATCCAATTATTTGCAACAGCAATAAAGAGAACACTATTTTCAAGGCTTGGGGATTGTCATTTACTGCCCTCTGGAGGATAAGCAAGGAGCTGAATAAATAAGAGATGGTTCTTTTTTTATAAAAAAAGGTTTTTATTTCACATTCAGGCTTCCAATAAAGCTGAATCAGACCTGGATCACAATGTTTATAGAGATGAGCTGTTTTACACCTTACTTTCTTCAGAATGCAAAGACGTAATCCATGAGGCAGGCAAAAAATACAGACAGTCAAGTCATGGGCTCCCAACCCAACATACATTTAAAAGTTTTAGAACCATAAGACAAGAATTTGTGTGTCCTAAAGCAAATTCTGCAAGCCACAAGCTTACATTTGCTGCCACTTGAACCAGCTCCCTTTAACTGAAGATCACCACTGATACATTTTTAAATGTGGCTGATGTGGCATGCAAAATTTCATTTTGCTTCTTAGTTTCGGCTTCTCCCATTCCACAGTACTTAAAGCACTAGCCTTACTGTGCTAAACTCCTTGACACAGAGGTGACCTTACACCTCCAAGAATCTCACTCCTGTTTTGGGGGGGGTAGAAATCACTGACTCAGGACAAAGCAACAGCCTCACAGGTTTTCGCAGAGTTCCCTGAAGGAAGTTGGGGCTTTTATTTACCTTAGTAAAAGGTAAAGGTAAAGGACCCCTGGACAGCTAATTCCTGTCAAAGGTGACTATGGGACTGCAGTGCTCATCTTGCTTTCAGGTCAAGGGAGCCGGTGTTTTTACCTTAGTATCCTCAGATGACCTACTACCCAGAAGCAAATCTGCAATATTCTCTTTCCCCTGCCAAATACACTTTAAAAGGTACAATTGTGGCAGTAAGCCCCCACTTCCAAGGTGAGAGCTGGGAACGGATGGGAATGAGGATAGGAATGGAGCCCTGCTTATTCTTGCAAAGTCCCAGTTTCTCTTCCTGTAACATGGGTGTGTTTGGGGTTTTTAAAAAAAAAATAGAAAAGAAAGAGGAAGCAAGTTCTGGAGAGATGCTAGGAGCCAGGACTTCTGACCTTTCTTGGAAGGTGAACAAAAGCCAGTAGGAAAATCTAATAGTCAAAGGTGTTAGAAGATAAGATTTCTGGGAGTTCCCTCCCCACACACGCCCCAGGGAAACACTGGTGCCTAATGAGGTGGCACTGGGTTATGGTATTCCTAAGTCCTCAGGTATGAGAACAAGTGAGGAGCTGAGTTTTCGAGACTCAACTCCTGGTTCCTTATAGTCGGATCCTCAACGATGGTTTCAACGATGAAACACACGTTAAAAAAACAAGTCTTATGTTGAGTCCCATCTGCTCCCTCAGCCTCCAGGGCCTTTGGCAGCACTCCACGTTGCAGGCTTATGACAGCCTTGCCTCAGCCGCATCACTCCTGCCGCTGGGGTTTCTCCAAAGCGCCATCTTTGTCCTTCTGGGAGGCTCGCCCTCTCTGGAGCCCCAGCCCTTTCCCCAGCAGGAAGATGGCCAATGCCCCCAAGTGGATGCAATAATAGATGGAGCTCCAGTAGCGGACGGTGTCCTCGAAGGTGAGCAGCACAAAGCCCATGCACATGTAGTCGTAGGCCCTCATCTTCAGGAACCACTGCACCCAGTCGCCATAGAGACGGCCGGCGGGGGTCAGGTGCCTCAAGAAGCCGCTCTCCATCGCCCCCTCAGCTGCTAGGCAGAGTGGGATGGTAAGGAAGCTGAGGTAGTAGCCGGGGTGAATCCCATGCCAGTATGCAGAGATGAGCATGGTCCAGGCGCTCCTAGGAAGAAAGAGAGCCTTCTCAGTCCAAGAATCCTCCCCTCAGGCCAATTCCAGCACATATCCCAGAACCCTTCACCATTTCTCCTCACACTTCCCTACTTATCAGTCCTTGACTCCTCCACTGCTGTTGTTACACATTGGTCAAGTCAATCCCAGAATCCTTCGCTGCAGCTCTCAAGCCAAGCTTCCCTTTACATTTTGTTGCCTTCCTAGTTCAGCTTATCTACAACCAAGTTGCTGATCTCCTACACTTCTGCCAGCTCTTCCTCTCTTGGCCCACAGCCAACCAGCTATTCATACTCTGCCAAGAACAGTAACAATACTATGTCTGATACTTTTTTTTTTAATTTTCTATTCTGAAACATAGAACTGAGTCAGCAAGATGACACAATTAACCCAATGGCCTTTTCAAAAAGCCAGGTTTTCACCAATCGCCTGACAAAATATAGTGATGGAGCCCGATGGACCTCACTTGCAAGGAATTCCTCATGATAGGCATCACAAAAAAACCAGAAAACTATAGCTACTTGACACCAGCCTCACATCCTTAAGTCATGTTATGCAGACCTGCAGAGGATGAAGCAGACTGAGGACCTTGAGGAACTGACAGGGCCCCCTGAAGTCAATGCTTAGGCCCTTCAATGCCAACTGCTGTTCAGAAGTGTGGTTTAGGAGGCCAGAGTATATAAGGCCTCCCTCTTGAATCTTCCAGCTGCTGGAAACGGCACAAGTCTCTGGCTCACGGCACTGATTCTAGCTTCCTTGCTTTGCTATAAGAATATCCCCTCCCCTCCTGTGGTTTCAAGCAACTGCTGTTTTGAAGCATTATTGCCTCCAACTGTGGAGGAATAGCCATTGTGGACAATAGGCACTTGACCTCCATGAATCTGTCTAATATTCTTTTATAGCCATCTAAGTTGCTGGCTGTCACATACCTCCTGTGGGAGCAAGTGCCATAGTAAAACAACACATTGTGTGAACAAGGACTTTACCTGTCCTGAATCTTCCAACTTTCAGCTTTGTTGGGCATCCATTATTTCAATGTCATGAAAGAAAAACTTTTCTCTATCCATTTTCTCCATGCCATGCATAATTTCATAAACTTCTAATGTGTGAACACTGCTTTGCCGTGTTGTACTTTAATTGGACAGATGGAGTCTCTGCACTGAACCTTGGTTTGTTTGGACCCTGCTGCATCCACAGCCCTGCTCTCTTGGGTTGACAACATGGGTGAAAGACTTGCGGCTGGGCCCTTAAGCCCTTGAGGGCAACTCTTGGAGGGACTCGGGTGACAACTGGAGCAGGTGGGGAGGAATATACCAACTCCTACCATTTCATAGTCTTTCATGCCAACTGCCTTGCTTTCTCCATCTACACTGGAAGCTCGCGTTATGTTACCCTTGGGTAACGTAAACTTCGGGTTCCGAAAGTGGCAAACCCGGAAGTGTTTCGCCGCTTGCGCATGAGCAGAAGCGTTCTACCGCCGTGCGTGCATGCGCAGAAGCAGTCTCTCCAGTTGTGAAACCTTCGGGATACAGCCAGACCTCCACAACAGATCCCGTTCGCAACCAGGGGTACCACTGTATTCCAGAATGTTCCACTGCACCATCCAAGCTCGCAATAATATTTTTGGCTCAACGTTTAGTTCTTTACTCACTATTGCTCACCTAACTCTCACCTGCATATTTATGCTACTCCCCCTCATGCCTGCATTTCTCTACTCTACCTGTCTTCAAATCAACGAACCAACCAACCAACCAACCAACCAACCAACCAACCATGTATCCCAGAATCCTCCTTACTGGCTGTTCCCAGAAGAACCTTCCCTGCAATTGATCTCAGAACCTCAGAGTCCACCTTCACACCAATCCACCCCAACAGGCTATCTCCCCCATACCCCCCAATGGTACTGCTTTGCTCACCTTAAGACATAGGACCGGACGGGTGCGCTTTTGTAAATGTACTGCGCCAACCACCATTGGACAGTCATGTTCCAGTAGCGCATGCCATCCTTCACCTTGACACAGAAGTCAGTGCCATGTGGATCAATGTTCTTGATTGTCTCATAATCATAGGTGATGCTGGACGCTCCCCCTTCATCTGAGTTGCTTTAGAAATGTAAACAAAACAAGAACATCTTAACGCCCTCATGAATTGACTATTGCAGTGCTCTCTACATTGGGCTACCCTTGAAGACTGTATATGTGTCAGAATATGACACCTTGCCTTCTGGGGGCAGGACAGTTCCATGCCATTCTCTAAATCTAGCCCATCTTCTACTGCAGACAGGGAACATCTCCTTGACTAACCTGCTGATCGGCACATATTCCACAGTGGGCCCACCACCTGACCGTGATTTGGCGGTGGTTGGATAGGCACCGAAGGCAGCAGAAATGCAGGCGCATTCAGCGCAGAGCCAGGCGACATAGAAGCGCATGCGGAAGACGAAGAAGATGGGTATCATGTAGAAGATTCGGAACAGAAGTCCCCGTTCGTAGAAGGCGTCGCTCCGGACATATTGGAGGGGGAAGAAGTGAGATGCCACCAGGAAAAAGACCCCAAAGATGGGGATCATTTTCATTCTCGAAAGCAGCGGTTTCCAGCTAGGGATGACTGTGGAGTTAGGCTGGTTCAGCCAATCGTGGTAAGTGCGGTAGCGAAAAAACGGGCCTAGGTGCAAAAGAAAAGAAATTGAGATCAATGAGCAGACAGAAATGAATTGTTCCTCAGAAAAACCAAGACACACAAAAGCCTCTCATGCAACCACACATCTTAATAACTTAAGTCTTAAGAGGATGTCTAGCTTGGGTGCTGGGTAAGAGTCTGATGCGCCCTGTAGCCTAGCCCTATGTCTTCTCACGGGATCTGGTGCCATAAGCAGAACCTGCAGGATCTCAGCGTTCATTCCAAGCCCTCATTATCTGTCGCAGAAGTAGCGTTCGGATATTTTTGTGCTGTTCTCACAAAGCAGAAAAGGAAAGAACAATCAACGTTACCACACATGAACTGGAAAGGCACACAAAGATAATGAATGGAGAGAGGAAGAAAGGCATATTATTTCCATAAACACCAAGGGTCAGAGGCATGCTAGTGCTACTACGGACACACACACACACACACACACACACACAATCATGCCACAAAACAAAAAGTCAGCAGCTGTGACAATTAGAATAACAGGCAAAGGTGAAATATGCTTGGTTCTTTTGCCTTCCTGTTCTTATCTCTTACATTGCTTTCTCTTCAAAAGAAAACTGAAACAGAAAATGGGAATCCCCAGACCCTCTGTCTCCTGTCATCCATTTTCATATTTGTGGTGAAGGGATACAGACTAAAGCTGTGGTAACCATGATTTAAAAAACAAACCAACCCATCCCTAGAATTTGGTGCTGTACACATATTTCACCCTAGCCAGTTTGACCAGTGCGTTCTGTTAGGTAACTCAGGTACCTGTCATGAGCCCAACATAGCAATAACTGTAGCACAGTATCTCCACCAGTCCGGGCATTTTAGGGATCACGCCAATCAGTGGACTCTTGGCAAATGATGTCACATCCTGTTTCTTCGCCCAAGTGAGTTCTTGTACTTCGTTGGCTAAGCTCACCATCTGGGAGACACAGATTAAGGCATCATGGGAAATGAGCTTCCTAGGGAGCCCCTTCCCCACACCCCCGTCCAAAGCGCAGCCCCTCTTACCTTGAGAGTGAGTAAGAGCTGCACGGCATTGGTGAAAGGTGTTGGCTCTGGGAAGCCAAAATAGGCGATTGTGCGGAAAAAGAGCAGGTAGGAAAAGGTCCAGCCAAGTGTCAGGTAGTGACAGGCCCTGGTGTGTGAGAGGGGAGAAGCAGATAAAAGGCTGTAAATATTAATGAACTATTCATTATTCTTTAATGAATTGTTCTCCACAGAGGTGTGTCTGGCACCTTCTTTATGCAGCTTTCGTCAAATGCTAAAGATACACCTCTTTACCTTGGCTTTTGACATTTGAGGTGTATATTTTTAACACTGTGCTTTTGTTGTTGTAATCCATCCTGCGACATTAGGGTAATAATAATAATAATAATAATAATAATAATAATATCCTCCACCACCCCACACACTCTACTCTGGCTGTTCCATTCTCACTGACCAATATCCTAATGTTGTAAATTTACTGAAGATATACATTTTCAAGACCTGCCCTATTCCTTCCCCGACTGTATTTTTTTTTTCAACTGTGTGTTTTTGATGTTGAATTTAAAATTCTTGTAATCTGCCCTGTGATTTTAGGCTGAAGGCCAGGTAATAAATATAGCAACAACAATGACAGTAAAGTAATAATCTGGTAGACATTTTCAGGGTCCTGGCTCTATGTCTCTGCATCAAAAGGGACAAAACCTTATTTTCTCTAAACCTGGGAAATGTCTGTGGCCTTCTATGTGATAATCAACTGCCACTTCTATCAGTCCTAGCCAGCATAGCCAGTGGTAGCCCAACCTCTGGAGGACCACTGGCTTATCTGCCCTGCTCTTAAGCCCCACATTGCTTCAACTTTTCAAACCTCAGAGGCAGAAATTCCAGGACATCCGATTCCCGCAATCTCAAGCTTGCCTGCTAAACTATAGCCACCTGCAAACAACCAAACCATGTTTGCAAGGCGTCTTGATTCATCTTACTAGGCCTCCCGGCCCACCACACAGGACTACAAGCGCCCCCCGCCCCATGTTTCCCATTCCACCACCTCCCAGCTTCCTCCTTTACCTTGGTGAGATGTTGATTATCAGCCAAGTCCCCAAGATGGTGATAAGCGAGTGGAGGGTGTGGATGTGGCAGGTGGCCAGCGTGAGCACGAGCCCCGCAGCTGTCCCTCCAAACTGCTTGATCCTCAGGTCTGTGGGAAACAAGCAGATGAAAAAAGTTTCCCCATTGCAAACAGTACCAACACAGTGGTATCAGGAGTTAGGGATTCAAGTCAGCTCAAAAAGGAGAATGCAGGAAAAGAGAGATCAGAGCTTGGTGGTAAAGCAAAATATTTACATGCACAGGACACCCCCCAGCACCACCATTCAGTCAATTCCCATTTCTTCCTGTTCAAGATCAGATAACAAGTGATGGGAAAGACTTCTGCCCAAGATGCCTGAGAGCTGCTTCTAACCAGAGAAGAACATTAGGCTAAAGGGAGAAATATTTTATCTCGTATAAGGCAGCTTTTTGGGGTTCCCATTTTTTATTTGCACTCCCCTCCTTGCAACCCTTCCCCTCCAGAAAAAAAACCCCAAATGGAATATTCCATTCTTATTAATTATTTTATCTATTTTAAAAGTTTATAGCCCACCCTTAATCCAAAGACCCTGGGCTGGAGAACACGACACCCTCAATGAATAACATTCAGCACCTTTATGTGTTACTGGTAAGGGCTTGAATTCAGAGCAGAAACATACTAGCAACCAGGGCAGACTCTTGTACCTTTTAAAGGTGCACAAAATTCTACTAAGGCTGCAAATTCTCCTGTCATTACAGCACTGGAATAGTAAAATCCACACTGAGCGGAATACTGAATTCTCCGCAACTGGGCATTTTTATCTTATTATGCCAGGACTTTGTCAGCTAACTGCCTCCCAGTCCATTTACAGACCCAGTTTAAAGTGCTGGTTTTAATCTATAGAGCCCAAAACAGCTTGGGACCTTAAGATCCCCTTCAGAAGTGTAGCGACAGGTGTCCCTACCAAGGAGAGGGCATTTTGGGTAGTGCCACTCTGACCATGCAATATGTGCTCCCCAAAAAGGCTCTCCTGGAGTCTTCTCTGTGGTCTGTTCAGCACCAGGTGAACATCTTTTCTTACTCAGCCAGGCTTTTAAATCTGGGCTGCTTCATTTGCTCTGGTATGCTTTATGGCCTTTTACTGTTGACTTCTAATGATGATATTTTGTATTTTGAAGAATTGCTTTTGTCTGTTTTGTTTGCCTGCTACCTGGGGAATTAGCAAGATTTCTGTATCACTTCATTAAAAACACACACATAGACCACCGCTGCATAGATGGACAGCTATATAAATGCAACATATCAAAAGAAAGAACTTCATCTCAGGGCCTTAGGAGTCCTTGGGCAATGCTGGGTTGCTTAAATCTGACTCTGCAACAGTTGTGCCCCCCCCCTAGACACGACGTCATCTCCTCCAACTCACTTTGGCCACCCAGATTTAGCACTCACCCCCTTTCTTGAAGAGGAAGCCGATGGGGATGGAAACGAGAAGGACTGCCAAGTAGATGACTTCATCGGGTGACATTGTGGCTGGCAAGAGATGCAGAGAGTCAGAACAGGCTGTGCAGAATGGTTTGGAGAGATTAATGCTGGGAATACTGGAAATAACCAGGGAGAAGGCTGTGCTACTGCTCCAGCAGGTGGTTTGAGGTAGGGTGAATATCTTTGAAGGAAGTGGCCCAGGTGTTTGGGGCTGCATATTAATATGATACCAGAAAGGTAAAAGCAAGGTTGTCAAGGCCCCTGGATTCTGGTATCAAAGGAGGGAAAACCTAAGGGATGGTGGCGTAAAGCAATAATCTTGCAGCATGCTACTACTCGGGTGGGGGTGGGACTGGGAGGGAAGGGATAGTCACCCAATGAAACGGATGAGCAATATATTCAGGACAAAGGAAAGACAGGATCTCTTCACACACAATGCCTGATTAATTTATGCAATTTAGGGAAGAAAGTGAATTCAGAGAGGACAGGTGTATTATTCATTACAGTTATAGACCACCTTTTGTTTCAAGGAGCTCAAGGCGGTTTACATGGTTCTCCTCTCCTTGTCTTATTCTCACGACAACTCCAATAAACAGGGACTAGCACAAGCTCACCCAGGGAGCTTCATGGCTGCATGGGGATTCAAACCCTGGTTTGCCAGTTCCTAATCCAGCACTCTAACCATTACACCATGCTGGCTCTCAGTGTATTGGTCAATGGCTACCAGTCATGACAGGATGAGACCTGGAAGGAAATCTTGCTTCTCCTCAGTGCTCTAACTCAGTCGCCTTCCAGATATTGTTGACATTCAACTCCCATCATCCCCAGTCAGCTTAGCCAAGGGGCAGGGATGATGGGAGTCATAGTCCAACAACAAATGGGGACACAAGGTGAAGAACACTGCTCCATTCCATTCCCACCCAAGTTTCAGGTTGTTGGAGAGACAAACTTACGGAAACAAATGATGAAAGTTTGCAAATTCCATCAAATAACCTCAAACGTAGAAGGATTAATAGTTGGATGTGGCGGTTTGTTTATACAGATTATAAACTGCTGCAAAGTCCTCTGGTGCAGCTTGGCTTCAAAGAAGTCTTAAGTAATGAGTTAAGTTTTTGTGAGACACCAATAAAAAGCACTTCTGAATACCATCCATCTGAAGCAATATATGACGTTTCCCTCTAGCCTTGTGAGATGATCCGTCTGGTTGCAACCAGCAAGTAAACTTTCTCAGCAAGAGAAGCATTACCCCTTTCAAACAATTATAATAAAAAATATTGTGTCTAGGTCACAGTTTCCCCAATAATGTCCCCAATTTCTTTTATCCCCTGTTTCCAGAAAGGATCTTAGGGTCTCTTATTTGAAGGGTTGTTTTTTTTTTGTACTTCTGCAAGTCTTTTGTACTTCTGCAAATAGGGATGGGGAGCTTGTGGAACTACTGGAATGCAACTCGTCACCCCTAATCATGGCCCTCCCCCAAACAGCATTCCTATGCCTTTAACACGGGTGTTGAGACTGCAATTCCCATCAGCCCCAGCCACCATAAACAATAGTCAGGGATGCTGGGAGTTGTAGTCCAGCAACACCTAAAGAACTGCAGGTTAGCCACCCTTGCCTGATGTCCAGCCAGCAGAAATATAACAGCTGATGCTTATTCTATCACTTCATCTCTGTGGCAGGAAAGGCACCACCTGTTCAACTTCTGCCTGCTAGGTGGGGAACATGTGGCCCTCCAGATGTTGTTGAAATACAATTCCTAGCCAATGTAGCTAGTGGCCAGGAGTTCCTAGAGTTGTAGTCCATCAACATCTGGAGGACCACAGGCTCCCCATCCCTATGTTAAAGGCACAGACGAGCACTGCCAGGGGGAGAAAGTTGGCAACTCTATTTTGGGATTGGAATCCCCACTCAAAGCATCCCAGGTGGAGTAGTCCAGCTTCATACCATTCTATGGCTACTTCTACAATATTCATTTAAAGCTATGTCATACATATCATGCAGATGGGGCCTTAGGATGTTACGTGTGTTAAAAGCTCACAAATCTGCTTTTTCTTAAGCATCTTCCCTATGGATTGTGCAGGCTACTGAAAGGTGGGGCAGCTTGTGGGGACCAAACAGGGGTCAAGGGTATGAGCCAGGTCTCTTTGCTTTCTTCTAAGAAGGAGAGTGGAGCAAGTAATAGAATCATAGGCTTGTAGAGTTGGAAGGGACCACGAGGGTCATCTAGTCCAACCCCTGAATGCAGGAATCTTGTTGCCCAACGTGGGGCTCAAACCCACAACACCGAGATTAGGAGTCTCATGCTCACACACAGAAAGAACTGTCAGCTGCAGGCTACCTTTCAGAGTTGCACAGAACAAAACAAGAAGGCACGCTGGGTGAGGAACCCCGCCCCTCTTTTTATTGATTGATTTGATTGTATTTGTACCCCACTCATCAGCCCAAAAGGCTCCCAGAGTGGCTTATGGACAGTCAATTAAAACAAGACAATCCCTATCTGCAGGCTTACAATAATAATATTGGGGGGGGGGACACGACACACAAGGGGAAAGGGACAGGGAGGGAAGAGGAAAAAAACAAATTTTGTGCAACTCTGAAAAGTACAGATGCTCTCTTTCTACCTTGCTCCCAGCCTTCCACATTCCGAGCTTCATTTAGAAAGACAGATTGCAAGGCAACCCCCCTTTCCTCCTGTCCCCGCTGGGGATGACTGTAGCTGGACACACCCAGACCAGTTTCCACACACTCCACCCCCGCCACTTTCTCCCCGTTCCTCTGTGCTGATGTCCTTGTCTCCCTGTAATCCCTCGCCTCTCTCCTCCACCCCATGCTTTCTATATTTAAATAGGAATCCTTCAGCTAGATTAAAAGCAAGTGTCTATCTAAGGAGTCCAGCGAGACGCACACAGAGAGCACGCACACACACACACCTCTTCCCCTCCAGTGAATCACTAGACGAGAGTTTGCAGCAGGCTTGTACCATGCATAGTTTTGTAGGCCAACTGCAGCCCATTCCACTTTGCCTGGTATCCCTTGGGTAGAGGGAGAATTCCAAATACTCATTACTTGCAACTTTTACCCAAACCTTTGGAGGAACAGCTAATGTCCACCCTAGCCCATCCGACGTATGGATGAGAGAATCGCAATGTCTACACATCTCCTCCCCTTTGCTGGATTCAGAGGTAAATGCTGGGGCTGACTCCAATTCCCCCTGCAAATTTGCAGCTTCGTGGCCCACCTCCACCAAAGGCTCCTTCGTTGACATGAGTTGCCGGGGGAGGTAAAGCCATGTGTGCTGTTGAAGTGGGCAAGGGTATTGTTGCTGAGAGCAAAGACATGGACTAAAGTGGGTGTAGAGGGGGCAGGAAGCCCTGCTAGGTGAAGAAAGTGCAGAGAATCCTGGAAAGTTGGGTGGTTTTCTGTGTGAGGAACAGATGGAGGTATATAGACAGGAGTGTTATGCGAAGGACAGGAAAATAGGAAGTAGGTAAGAAATTAAGCTGAAGAGACACTGAAGAGGGTGAGGGAATCTAAGGCTCCGTACACTGAAAAGTCCCAGGACCTGTAGTTTGTTAAGGTTGCTGGGAATTGTAGCTCTGTGTTAAACTACAGTTCCCATGATCCTTTGAGAGGGAGTGAACAGACGTCTTGACATGCCCCGCTACAGGTGAGAAAGTGCTCCGTTCAGAGAGACTTGATGGTGCAGAGGGAAGTGCACATTATGGGAGGCAGGAATAAAAACAGTTAACATGGGAAAACAACTCTGAGTTAGAGTTGCCTAAGGAACTTGCCTAAAGCAAAAATCTGATATGAAATTACTAGTTTCTTAAATGTCCGAGGAATTTGGAGTGGAGCTACAGGTTTTATTTTAATAAGATGAATATAGAGAATATAAGATTAAGCAAGCAGTCTTCACATATATGGAAGGGCTGGCATGCAGAAGACAGGGCAGAATTGTTACCTGTTGCTCCCGGGGGCAAGACAATCCAAATTTGCAGGGAAGCAGATAAACATTAGGAGGAACTTCCTGACAGTATCAGCTGTTGGGCAGTGGAGCAGGCTGGGGGTGCTTCAGCAGAGGCTGAACAGCCACATGCCAGGGATGTTGTAGTTGCATGTGTTCATTTCTTAGCAAAGCACAACTTGAGCCAATTTTTTTTCCATTGGGAAAAGAAATGCCACCTACTTAATTTCTCCCTTGTGTGCAGCTATAATTGTGCTTGGAAGACTTTCTAGAAAACATCATGGCAATGCTCCTTTAACCTTTGCCAAATACTTCCTTGCCCACTCTCCATCCATCAGATGGGAGCTGAAGTCCCAAACATCTGAAGGGCCCCAGGTTGGCTGGGTTAGAATACCCAAAGTGGAAAAGCTTCAGCGGAATTCCTGTAGTAGAGCAAGAAGAATATTCAGCCCTAAATTTAGCACCTCTGGGTATGTGCAGAATCCATTCCCCCAGTTAACAGCACTAAACAACCCCAGTAAATCTGGGGTTACAGGTAAGAGCTAATCATTTGCCTGTTTAGGAGCAAAGCACAACGACTTGTCAACTTCCAGGGCTCCACCAACCGCAAAATGAAAGGGGGGAAATCCTTGGTAGCAGGAAATATTTTTGTGGGGTTTTTCATCTGATGAGGAATGTAAGGAAGAATATTTTTTTTAAATCCTCTGGGAAACTAGAGGGGAAAATAAGTGGCAGCGTCATTCCTCAGGTAGGTGTTGCATGCACATACCAGATTAAAATGGGGGGGGGGAAACACTGAATGCAATGTGAGGAAGAGATCTATCAAAAAGCAGGGTTCAGGGAGACTGGCGCTGCACATCCCGGGTGGGTGATTAAGGCTATAACTACACTGTATATGTATAATACCTGAAAATAGAGCACCAAGACGTGCTGGCTCCTATTTATCCCCGCTATACTCCTGGGTAAGTCATCTGTTCCCCATCTAGATCTTACGCCTGAGCAAAAAATAACATAAAATTGCCCCATCTATGTTTGACACCGATTTAGGGAACCCTGGAGCCCTGGCTCCTAGCCTTAGGCCCCATACTGGTGAGCCACTAAAACCCGCTTCATCCTTTCCCATGGAACCCAGGAGTCCGGCTTCCCAGCACCACATAGTCTCGTTTTCCCAAATCAACCACCCCGCCCGGCACTCACCTCTTCGGAGGGCCCTTTCAGCACGTGCTGCTGCCCAAAGGGGGAATCGAGAGCGGGGCTGAAGGAGGGAGGGATGGAGGGAAGGGCAAAAAGCGGCAGCCTAGGAGCGCGATGCAAAGAGCTCAGCTCCTTGCAAAATCCATTTCTGAGATGGCTGCCCCACCTCCCCCTTCGCCTCCAAGCAGCCTTGCAAAACAATTTCTCAATCTTAGGTGCGCGCTTCCTGTCCCTCTTGCACAGTTTCCTTTGCTTTGCAGGATGAACTGTGCGCGATTGAAAGGGAGGCGGTGTATGCATGCTTCCCCACCCTCCTTCTCATCCTCCTCCTCCTTTGCACCGCCTCTGTCTTCCCAAGACCCAAGCCATTGGCTCCTTCTCGGACCGTTTATTGGACAGCGGAGCCATCACTCCAAGCTCTTCGGCTGTGGCGAAAGAGTGATTGGAGGGTCATTTAGCAAGGGGGCGGGGACTAAGGGGAGCAAAATATCTCCGGGATTCTCACGCAAGAGGAACCTCATGGCTTAAACCAAAAGGCGATCCGGTGTGAAAGTGGTTTATGGGATTAAAACGGGTTGGGGAGGGTGCCAGGACTCCTGGGTCCTGGAAAGGAGGAAGGGGCAGGGGTGCTGGTGATTTAGGGAAGGGTCTTGATTTTGGGGTGATGTTGCAGGAAACGAAGAGGCTGTGTCAGCCAGGGGAGGGAGAGTACATCGTCCCAACCTTTATTAGCAGCCTACTCTTCATCTGGTATAATAATAATAATAATAATAATAATAATAATAATAATAATAATAATTAAATAATTTACTTAAATTTGTATACCGACCTTCATCCGAAGATCAGACGTAAGGTCCGTTGGTCATAATGATCGCTGTTGTCTGAAACTTGAAGCTTATTGCCTAGTTAAGTGTGTGTGTAGTTTCAGACTTGCGGTGCAATATGCATGTATTTGCATGTATTTGCTTCCCTTTGCATAAAACAGTTTATTCCAGAGAGGTGCCCCCAACCAATCCACTGCAAGCACCCCAAGCACACACCTCCACCTTGCCACCCATTTTATTCTTATTTATGTCCCTGGACCAGTCATAATTTATTCAGGATGCTTACAACCCATTGTATTTCTGCTGTGTTTCTGTTCAGGGAGAAAGAAGAGATTGGCCAAGATTTTGGGTACTGGGAGGAGAGAGATTATGCTGCTTTGCTTTAAGCAGCATAAGAGAACTCTTATAAACAATAAAACTACATAAATTACAAACCTATTAAATAGTGGAGAGAGCAGATTAAAGCCAACCCACTTGTTTTTTTAAAAAAGTAAAGTAACCTGCCTCTGCCATTTTAGGTACATTTTAGTGCTTAGTATAAGAACCTCCGACAGCCAATTGCCTTTACCCCAAAGGCTGCTGGCAAAACCTTTCAAAGGAGTGGATCCCACCACCCTCCCAAAAAATCTTGAAGTCAAGTGATTACTATAGTATTTTTATGGTTGTTCCTTTCCCATCTTCTCAGGGAAGCACAGGCCGAGGCATGATCCGAATCCATATCTTGGAGGGAAAGGCTTTTGTGTGGAATGCTGCTGATGCGCGGAGATTGCGGGAGGAGCATCGTATTGTCGGCACACTGGTTGGAGCGTTAGCTCGGAAGCCGCGGCAGAATGTGCGGCTGGGGCTGCCCCTGCAGCTGCTCCCGGAAGAGGTCCGGTTACTGGCAGAAAAGGGGTTGGCAGCCTTGTTCAAAAACGCAGCGTCCCAACCCCTTCGAGATGATAAAAGCCAGGTGATGGTTCAACCAATCGTTGCTAGTTCTCTAAAAAAGAAAAAAAGAACCCAAACCTGGAGCAAAAGTGAAGGATGCTCTGCTTAATTGCTGCAAACTGTGCAGTGTAGATCATGGGCCACCAACCTTTTTGAACCCCAGGGTACATTTGCAAACCAGAAGCACTGTTGTGGGCCCCATACACACTGCAACCGAACGCACATTGCAACTTATTATATTGGCTAACACAGAAAACTTCGTTCAGGCCTAATTTCATTGGGGTGGCATGAGGACCCAGTGGGCACCAGGGAAGGTCTCTGTGGACATGTGTGTGCCCGTGGGTGATTTAAATGCATGGTGTGGATGCGGTCAGAGAATGGGAAGCGCTGAACTTGCTTCTCTGTGCCTGCAGGATCCTTCAGCCCTTGAGGAGGTGGCCGCCTACCAAAACGAGCAAGAGGAGAGCTATCAGGAGCAGGTTCGGCTGGCGGCTGAACAGAGGAAAGCTGTGCTGGGTACTCTTGCGGAACGTATAGCCCAGGGCCGGGCAAAGAAACGGCGGCAGGAAGAGGGAGGTGAGCGTCAACCTTTGCTATGTGGCAAGTATTTTGCTTTGTTTGGAAGTGCCCCAGGAAGCTGCAGGAGGTAAGTTAAAGGACTCCTGAAAGGTTAAATCCAGTCAAAGGTGACTCTGGGGTTGCAGTGCTCATCTCGTTTTCAGGCCGAGATAGCCGCGTTTGTCCACAGACTGCTTTCCGGGTCATGTGGCCAGCATGACTAAACAGCTTCTGGCACAACGGGACACCGTGACGGAAACCAGAGCGCATGGAAACGCTGGTTACCTTCCCACCGCAGTGGTACCTATTTATCTACTCGCGCTGGTGTGCTTTTGAACTGCTAGGTTGGCAGGAGCTGGGACAGAGCAACAGGAGCTCACTCCGTCACAGGGATTCGAACTGCTGGCGTTCTAGTCGGCAAGCCCAAGAGGCTCAGTGGTTTAGACCATAGCGCCACCCGCGTCCCTTGCAGGAGGACTAAACTATGACTGGTATAGGTTAGGGGTGGGGAAACAGTGGTCTTCCGGATGTTCCTAGACTCCACTCCCATCACCCCTGACTATTGGCATTGCTGGCTGGGGCTGATGGGAGTGGTAGTCCCAGAACCTATGGAGGACAGAGAAAAATGTTTTCTCCTCAGTTGTGGCACCAGCACGCAGGGCACAATAATGACAGATTTTTGGATGACTTTAGAAGAGGATTAGACAAATTCATGGAGAGTAAGACTGCCTGTGGCTACTAGTCATAGAACTGTGGAATGTGAAGACACCCCAAGGGGGGTGTTATTGGGTTGTTGTTTTTATTTTGATTATATACAGTGGTGCCTCGCAAGACGAAAATAATCCGTTTCGCGAGTCTCTTCGTCTAGCGGTTTTTTCATCTTCCGAAGCAACCCTATTAGCGGATTAGCGCTTTTAGCGGCTTAGCGGCTATTAAAGGCTTAGCGGCTTAGCGGCTAAAAGGCTATTAAAGGCTTAGCGGCTTAGAAAAAGGGGGGGGGAGCGAAAAAAAATCGCAAGACTCGCAAGACGTTTTCGTCTTGCGAAGCAAGCCCATAGGGAAAATTGTCTTGCGAAGCAACTCAAAAACAGAAAACCCTTTCGTCTAGCGGGTTTTTCGTCTTGCGAGGCATTCGTCTTGCAGGGCACCACTGTATTGTGATTTTATATTTTGATTTTGTTCTGTGAACTGCCCTGAGACCTCCGGGTATAGGGTGGTATATAAATTAAAATTAAAAATAAATAGTCCAACCTGCTTCAATGCAGGAATCTTTTTGCCCAACGTGGGGCTCGAAACCCACAACCCTGATACTGAGAGTCTCATGCTCTACCAACTGAGCTACTGTAGTCAGGAGAGCTATGCTCTGCCTTCACAGTTGGAGGCAACAATGCTTCTGAATGCCAGTTGCTGGAAATTGCAGGAGGGGAGAGGGCTCTTGAGCTCGCGTCCTGCTTATTGGCTTCCCACTTCCTGGCTGGCTGCTGTGAGAACAGGATGCTGGACTAGTTAGGCCTTCAGCCTGATCCAGCAGGGCTGTTTTCAAGATGCAGCAAGGGGAAACCAACCCGCTTGCTTTTTTGGAGCACCGGCAAAGAAAAGCGTAATACCCAGCTTTCCCTAAACGTCTCTGTAAAAAGCCATGAAAGAAGAGCCTATTGCATCAAGCCAGTACTCCTCTAGTCCAGTATTTTGCTCTCAGTGGCTAACTAGATGTCTAACCACATCTTAGCTGAATAAGGAAATACTTAAAGGAAGGATCTAGGTGGGCTTCCCTTGGGGAGAGCTTTGCTTAATCTTGGCACCACAACCAAGAAGGACCTGCCCTGGTACCTATCTGTTATAGCTCAGGCTGTTGGTGGTAATGACCAGACAAGGACCACAGCCACAGGAGGGAATACATGGAAGAAGGGAGTCCTAAGGTAGCCCGGTTACAAGCCACTCTGTATTATATTTCCAGATCCTCCTGCAGAACCGGAATCCACCTTTGTGCTTCCTCGACAATCTATGATGGTCCAGCTCCCAACAGAACGAGTACATCCAGGCCCAGAAGAAGAGGTGGACTGGCATGTCCCATCCCAAGACTGGCCTTATGCTGGACAGGAGGAGCACGAGATACATTACCGCATTTTCCAGAATCTTTGGGAACGGGGCTACTACGTCACCAGTGGGAGCAAATTTGGGGGCGACTTCCTTGTTTATCCAGGTAGTGGCAGGCTTGTGGATCTTGGGGAATCCAAGCCGGGGGTGGGGTGGGGTGGCAAATGCTATGGTTTTCAGAGTCTGCCCCTCTGAGCAGAGAGCATGATATCAAAACTCTCCTGCGTCACAAAGGCAAATGCGAATAATAAAAAGCTGAGCAATCTTATCCTGCGTTTTTGCCTCTTAGCCCAGGAGTGAATGGAATATTTGCTGAAAGGCCTAGCCGGCCCTCTGTTGGAAGGGTGAGAGGTATTTAAAGAGGCAGGCACGATTCCTGGCCCCGTCTTGAATAAATAAATGCCTCCCTCTGTCCTTGCACACGGAGATTCAGAGTCCTGTTCTGCTTTGCAGTGAATAGCAGTCTTCCTTTCTATAGCGAATACAGGTCTGCTGAAAATGGGGAAGGCAGGAGTACTCTAATGGTTTGAGGAGTGATGTCTACAGAATAAAATACTGCATTTCCTTGGTTTGCTGTGCATTGCCCTGAAATCTCCTTGGGATGAAGGGAAGTTGTAGAAATTAAAGAACATGTGTGTGTAGATAGAACTCTGAAGAGGGAATATGCAACAAATTAGGGCAGGGTTGAATGCCTCTGTGCAAGTTTCTTGCCATACTATTCCATTTGCCTTCCAGGCAGGAAATTCTGTCTGGAACTAAAGAGCCATGGCCAGCCAGCATAGTCTTCTGAAATCGAGTGTTTAAAGTAGGAAGACTTGCAAAGCTATGCATTTGACATGTGGGTGACATCATGATGATGTCATCATGTGATAGGTGGATTTGATGCCTGAAAGTTTTGACCCACAAAGCCGAAAAGTTCCCCACCCCTGGTATTGACAGTGGTCTGATGGTAGAAGGGACTTTGCCCGCCTGCCACAAACTTACAAAATCCCAAGCACTTAGCTCCCCTTTTTTTGCAGCGCTGCTGCTCCCAGGGTTCTTGCTGGGCAGGTAGTGGTTGCTGCTACCCTTAGGAAAAAAGACTCGCCCTTTCCTTGACTCAAGGACATTTTTTGCTGCGGCAAAATTTAAAACGGCTTCGTTCTAGAATGAAGAAGAAGAAGAGGAGGAGTTTGAATTTGATATCCCGCTTTATCACTACCCAAAGGAGTCTCAAAGCGGCTAACAATCTCCTTTTCCCTTCCTCCCCCACAACAAACACTCTGTGAGGTGAGTGGGGCTGAGAGACTTCAAAGAAGTGTGACTAGCCCAAGGTCACCCAGCAGCTGCATGTGGAGGAGCGGAGACGCGAACCCGGTTCCCCAGATAACAAATCTACCGCTCTGAACCACTACACCACACTGGCTCTCATGAAGAGCGATTGTTAAGGAGGGAGGAAGCCAACGGGCTATTTCCGTCTTCTAACCCCACCTTTCTCCCTCCCTCCCTCCTACAGGTGACCCCATGCGTTTCCATGCCCATTACATCGCCCTGTGTGTCTCTAAAGACACCCCTCTCTCCCTGTGTGATGTTGTCAGCGCAGGACGCCTTGGCACCAACGTGAAGAAGACGGTGCTTCTGTGTTCGGTGGACCAGGATGGGACTGCAGTCTTTACGTCCTTGCAGTGGAGTGGGATGCAGTGAGAACAGGATGCCAGTGGTGATTTAGGGTTGCTGTTCTGACAGTGGTGCGGGGCTGGGCTTAAGCTATTATAGCACAGTCTACTCCAGCTGTTCTCTTACTTCATTTACAGTTAACCCTCCACATTACAATTGTGCAAATGACTGTCGGTGTGTGTAGTCTCCCAGCAGACATCTCCATGTGCGAATGTCTCATGGAGGGCAGCTCTGTGTACATAAAGAAGATGGCCAAGGAGAAATACTTGGACTGACTTTGGCAGCGTTTCTGCAGTAGTGTAATTTGTCTTTTTCCAGCTGCCCGGAGACAAGGTTTGTGCGTGCTCAGAAATAAAAGGAAGAAGTTCGAGCCTTATCAGGGGAAACCTTTTGCAGCCCAAAGGCCACATTCTTCCATAGGCAACCTTTGTGGGGGGCGAGCAGCCTGTGAATTGGGGGGGCCAGAGCAACAGCTGTGAGTCTTCCTTTATTTATTGAAAGCTACATTCAGGCGGGGGGACGCGGGTGGTTCTGTGGGCTAAACCACAGAGCCTAGGAGTTGCTGATCAGGTTGGCGGTTCGAATCCCTGCAACGGGGTGAGCTCCCGTTGCTCCTGCCAACCTAGCAGTTTGAAAGCTCGTCAAAGTGCAAGTAGATAAATAGGTACCGCTCCAGCAGGAAGGTGAATGGCATTTCCATGTGCTGCTCTGGTTCGCCAGAAGCAGCTTAGTCATGCTGGCCACATGACCCGGAAGCTGTACGCCGGCTCCCTCGGCCAATAAAGCGAGATGAGCGCCGCAACCCCAGAGTCAGTCACGACTGGACCTAATGGTCAGGGGTCCGTTTACCTTTACATTCAGGCAGAGGCCTCTCTGCTTGCAACTACAAACCCCTCTTCCCACGCAGGTGAGCAAGAGGCATCGCAGTTCAAGAACACATCAGCCACACAAGGGAAGGTGTGGAGTAAAGGTGATGGGATCTGACCTAGGGAAAGGGGTATGTGACCTAGGAAGATTTCCTAAGGCCAGATAAGAAAGCAGGGACACCCTCCCCTCTGGCATGAGAGGCTGAGGGAGGCACAGGCCTATTTGTTTCTTGCATTTATATCCCACTGTTTTCTCCGGGAAGCTCAAGGTGGCTTAAATGGTTCTCCCCCTCATTTAATCCCCACAACCACCCTGGGCAGAAGGTTAGTCTGGAAGGCAGTGACTGGCTTAGGGTCACCCACAGTGAGCGCCAAGCCAAAGTGGGGATTTGAACCCTGGTCTCACAGGTCCTGGTCTGACACTCCAAACACTACACCACACTGGCTCTTTGCGACACGGGGCAAAGGGAATTCCTAGCTTCCACTTTGAAAAATTAATTTTTATTAAATTTGTGTATCACCCGTGGTTCTCAGAGCAGCTCACAACATAAAAAATACAATGATTAAAAAGCCCTGCCTTATCATGTAGTCCGTATTATACATGATCAGAGAAATTATTGTAGGGTAATGCTGCCCCCCAGTTCTTCTCTGTTTTTGGTAAGTGGCAAATGGATCAGGCTTAGAGAGCCCCTGCTGGGCTCTCTTTGCATGGCTGGTGCAGGGCCCTGGGCTTAGTATGTCCCAGCTTGTCCAAAGGTAAAACAAGAAAAATGCAGCCTGTCAAAATGTTGACGGGGTTTCCGCCTTCCCTCCAAAATAATTTATATTTATTTAAAATACATTATTCTTTACAAACAATTTCCTCTCCACCCCCCGCCACATCAGTGGTAGGCTCTGATCAACAGTTAAGCAGATGCTTGCAAACTGTTTTATACATCGTACGTTTGAATGGTTCCCACACACAGAAAAAGCCATTAAGTCTGTTTTGAACTCTTCCCATAGCGGAGTGGAAACATCTAAATGAGACCTGAATCATCCGATTTGTTCGAGGAATGAGTGTAGATAAACCAGAGCAAAGGCTATTCTAATCATTATCACTCATTAACGTGATGACAGGGAGAGGTGATGACCTCATCAAAAGACTGCAAAGCTTAATCGGGGCAGCTGTGAAGACCTATTCCAAAAGCAAAAGTTAGTTATTAAACCAACAAAAGAACCCATTATTTTAGAAGGTTTTAGAGTCCACAGGGAGGAGAGACTGCGGCCATCTTGAAAGAAGCAACGAAGGGTACTGTGCTTAGCACCTCTCTTAGCAACAGGTCCGCAAACCCCAGGCGGCCATTTTGAAAGCCTCGCTCTCCCTCAGACGCTGATAGTCCGGAAGATGTTGAAGCCAGATAGGGCTGTGGTGACGAGGGTGCCAGGGCACTGCGGATGCCAATGCAGCTCCTTAATGTCGTTCTCTCCCTGGTGAACAAACAGTAGCTGGGGTGGGATGGAGGCCAAAGCTGGGTCCTTGGCCTCTGCTTCCTCGTCTCGCTCCACAGCCAAGTCCCACTGCGTCACCTGGTCATCGGCACCGGAGGCTGCAAACACGCCGCTGTCTGTAGGGTGCCATTCGACGGACGTGATGGGTGCCGTGTGCTGCTTGAAGGTGGCGACAGCTGACCCTTTCTGCAGAGAAAGGGGAGGACAAAAGAAGGGCTGAGTTTGAGGGCTATTGCTTGTGAAGAAGATTTGAAGGGGAAATAATGTGTACAGGTGTGGGGAACCTTTGTCCCTCCGAATGTGGCTGAACTACAACTCCCATCATCCCTGGCCATGCTCACTGGGGCTGATGGGAGTTGTAGTTCAGCAACATCTAAAGCAGGGGTTGGCAAGGTTTACCTCGCCTGGGCCAGTTCACTCCAGTGGAGATACCTCCGTGGGCCGAATCGCATGTGTGCATGAGCGAGCGCGACTGCGATTTCCAGTGCTGCAGAAGTGAGTCCCTGCGCCATGCTGGTTTAGCGCAGCATGCGGGGACTCGCCGAGCGGGCGGCTTGGCTCGTGGGCTGGTTAAATGACCCCTGTGGGCTACTTGTGGCCCATGGGTCTTAGGTTGCTAACTCCTGATCTAAAGGTTTTCCCTAACATATTTTGACAGCGATTTCTAACCTGGAACTGCCTGAGGTCCCAGATCCTGAGGATCCCATCATCGCCACCGCTGACGATGAAGGGCTCGTTTCGATTCCAGCTGATGACGTTGACGTCTGCATCATGCGCCTGGCTGGCGGTCAGCATGCAGGCTTTCCCCGGTGGTGCCCGTGTATCCCAGATGCGGATGGAGGCATCTGCTGAGCAGGAAGCAAAAACCTGATCCAAGAACAAGGGCAAAGAATTGTTATGGTTAAACATAGCGGAGGCCTGGCAGGGGTCTTAATATGGCCCCTGTAAGGCAGTCCCCACCCCTAAGAAATCCCCACCCGATGTCTTATCAAGCTGGGTGCGGGTAATAATACAGCTGCAGAGGATCAGGAGTTGTTCTTTGACAAGCGGAGCTTACATTCAATTCCTCTGAAATGCAGTGGCAAATGCAAGCTACACTGGAACTGGTTCCAGTGTGGAACTTCCAAGTAGAGCCAACCCCTACAGATAGTGCAGCTTGTAGCTGCAACTGACAACAAGACCAGCTTCTTTTGCCCACACAATTTGGTTTCAAACCATAAAGGCAGCATAAAGGAAAATTATTAATTTCAAAGCATGTGAGGAATGGATAACTGTGGGCAAAAGAACATTTTTGCTGTACAATACCAGCTTAAATTCAAGCCCACCTGCAAAGGAAAACTTCACCTGACACCAGGATCTGATCTTCGACTTAGCTTTTTAAAAAAATACAAATCAAGGCCAATCTGATTTCAGATTCCATTAAACCAACCTTGTGGCCAAGCATATGCAAGAGAAATAATAGGCAACTGCCTTTTTAAAAAATAAAAAATGCAGCCTTAGCCGATTTGAAATACTTTGATTAAGTCCAAGGTAATTAGGAAGCACATTAACATTTCCCCAAGCTCAGAAATTTTCGCTGTAAAGCAAGCTGCACCCATCAAACCACTTCCTCACCGTAGCTTCATTTGGGGACCACTGGAGGTCTTCAACTGACGCAGTGTGGGCTGTGAAAGGCCGCTGGTCTACAAGCCATGATCCATCTTCCTTGGGTGTCCACAGATGGATGTTCTTGTTGCAATCACCAGTCAAAAGAGTCCCTGGAATAGGTAAGGCACAAGTTATTCTGAACTGCGGTCCTGCCGGTCCAGGTCTCCTGTGCCTACATTCCTGGCTCTGCCAACTCCATTCCTGTTCCATCCCAGCTGATTACCTGGTTTCTTGGGAGACCAGTCCATAGCAAATCCTTCTGTCATATGCCCAGCGAATGAGAAGACGGGTTTGATCTTGGCCTGCTCTTCTCGCAGAAAGGCTGCCATGGCTTGAGAGTCGGACAGGGCCACGAGGGGGCGCTGTAGGTCGTATATGTCCACCTGCCCCTTCTCAGACCAAACCGCTGCAATCTGTGATCCACCTAATTCTGTCACCTATCGAAACAACAACAGACCATTAAGGTAGAGAACTTTGCCAGAGCAGAGTGAGAGACCAGCAGGAAATATGGCTCGTACCCGAACTCTGTTAATACCCCCATAATGGGGGACCATGGCCAGCTCCAATTGGGGTTTTTTCTCTTCGTCTTCATCACTTTCACTGTCGCTGCTACTCTCTGACCCTGAAGAATCCTTGCCAGCGCGTTTGGTCCCATAGAGGTGGTGCATCTTCATCACCATCAACCTATTTGCAGGGAGGGGGGAGAGAAAACGAGAGACATTTAAATGGTGGGAACTACAGTTCCCAGCATTCCAGACAACTGACCGCAAAGCTGAATCTAACAAGGGAAGGCCAGGGGTCCCACATCCCTGCCACAGGCCCTCTTGTCCTGGCTTCAGTAGGACAAGTGTAGCTGGCTTGCTGGAAGCCAAGCTCCTCACAAACTCACCTGTTGGCATTGGCAGTTTCAGCCTGAGTTCCAGCACAAAGGAGAAGACTCAGCGGGTAGGTGGTTCGATTCTCTCCCAGGGCATCTCGCAAAATGTCAAAGCTCAAGCAAGGGGAACCTGCACAGGGTCGGAGGAGACACAGGGACATCAGCATTCATTTCTGTGGCAATTCCCCTCTTTGCCCCGTATCTACTGTGAGTTTTCTTCATCACGATGATTTACAGTCATTACCTTCCTTGCGGAATGCAAACAATTGTTTGTATCTTAACATATACACATATGCAACACATGGTGGTATGTAAATTTACTGCGGGTTTAGTTTTAGGCCTTTCTGCCAGAAATATTTATGCTGAAATTGCTTTGTGTTTTTAATAGTTGTTTCACCTTTTTGATATAAATAGTACAACAGGAGGTCCGGCACAGCCCTCAGCTTCTAGTTCTGTACTCACAATTACTAACTTTGTGCAAAAACATGCAGTGGAATCTATTTTGAATCTTACTATTTAGCCACAGCTCTTGCAACTTTACCAACGTGGCTGGTGAGAATTAAGAGGTCATGGGTTTGCTACAAATGAGGTTCAGTGCATACCCCTTGTTGTTTTAAACTTATCCACACACACACACACACACACACCATATCTTCTGGCCCCTAAAGGACGCTCCTAACCTAAAGCCACTCATCATATGCCATGCCACATCCCCATAATATTTGTGGCTGAGGTCTTTAGGAGTCAGGCTCGCCTATACAATCAAACTGTGTGGCCCACATCGAAGAACCAATGCATCTATACCCTGACAAATTCCCACCTCCATTCCTCCCTGTCTACATTCTTGGAATCCTTTCCCGTTCACCTTAGCAAGCGTCCCCTTCCTTTCCAGTCCAAAAAGACAGACCCCCCCCCTCCTTCCAATACATGATCTGACCTGTGCCTGCGCGATGATAGAGGCGATAGGCACCCTCGTCCATCACCAGTTCTTCCCCAGGTGCTGGAGGGGCCCCCTGTCCTGGCACATAAGCTCCCCCTCGACCCTTCTCTTCGTCTTGCCCCTTCTCCTCCATTTCCATGTCCTCATCCTCCTCATTGCTGCTACTGGAGCCGCTGCTCGGCTCATTCCATGTGCTGGGCTCCTCCATCTTGAAAGCGGGCAGCTGCTCTCCATAGCCACGCCCCACTATGGGCTCGGCTTCCCATTTCCTCTTTCGATGACGTATACTCAACATAGACGCAGAAATTGGAGACTAACGCGAGCACCTCGATTTACAGTGTCCATATTTCTCTTTGAGAAGCTCGTTAGCATGACTTCTCTGCATGTAAAGCTCTGACTTTTGAGTTGCGAGGGCATTCCAGAGACCACTTTAAATTGATTTAAACTTTAAATACCGCTGAGGTGTATTTTGTATGGAAGATTTTCAATTTTCAAAATAACTCCGTCGGGTGAGAAGCTAGACCTTCCTTATTTTTTTAAAAAAAGATTTACTTTTCAAGTTTATACACTTCACTAAATTTGAAATCATTTTGACATTTCAAAACTTCACTTCCTCCCCCCTCTTTCTACGGTTTATTAAATTTATTTTTAATATCTTCTGCATGTCCGAATTACCTTAATTTGCACATTTATTCATCTTTAAATATATGAAACTGCAGGTTATTACAATAATGCTGCCAATGTTTTTATCTATTTACAATTTATCTAAATATTCAATAAACCATTTCCATTCTTTTATGAAAATTGTGTCATCTTGATGTCTTATTCTTCTGGTAAGTTTCGCCATTTCTGCAAATTCCGTAAGTTTTTGTATCCATTCTTCCTTTGCTTCTTTCCATTTTATGGCAAGTAACATTCTTGCCACTGTAGTAGCATACAAGAATAAGTTTCTATACGGTTTAGGTAGTTCTGTCCCTAAGAAGCTATACCTTTTTTTATCATCAATCGCTTTGGGATGTTTCATAGGAAGCGATTAATAAATTAAATTAATAATAAAGTTGTTAAACACCGTTTAACAAGCCTGCTTGTTGTGCCGAAGGCTGGAGGCGGTGTAGCGTTAATGTTTTAATATAAAATCCCTGGACTTCAATGGCAGACTTCTTGTAACTTATTCAGCTTCAGCGCCCCATCCTACCCGTTAAGGAATAAAAAAGAAGGCTGAGTATTTGATTTGCATTTGTGGCACAATTTGCAAATGTTTTGAGGCTTTATACAAACAGACACGCACATTCGTCACAAAAAACAAGAACTTAAAAGAGTATAAAACCACGTTTCAAGTAGATTCTACTTAGGGGCACGCTTCTGCCCAACCATAGCTACACTACATATTCCTGAATTTCTGCTTTGTGTCCTATGGGCTGCTATCACTTTCACTCGACATCCGAGGGGAAATTACGTCAAAACGATAATTGTCCCGTGTTTGACTATTGCAACGATCGCTCTAAAATTTTTAGTCTACGTTTCTCAAAAGGGAAACGCTAATTCAGTTAAAAGGAAAAAGGAGCAGGTGGCCATATTGGAAAACGTTATTCATTCTCCCTCTCCTGGTTGGAGTTCAAAAATCCTGCCCCTAGTAACTCAGCGGGTCAAAGTCTTCCTTCCGCACTTTGAATTCAAATTAAGATATTTTAGGTAAGAGAGTTTAGAAGCCTTATTAAGCGTTAGCACCCAGTCACATTTTTTAAAAGAGAAGAATGCCGCCATCTTTATTAAGGGAAACTGCTGTTTTAAATAAATGCAGTCTTAGAGAAGTTTCTCTCTGAAAGTCAGCGCTGGAAATCAGAGTTGTGGGAAGATGGGATGGCGGTAGCCCGTTTTTATGGTTTGCGCGGCTTTATTCCTCATTGAAAACACGGTAAAAGGTGAGCGCCATTTTGAGTATGGGCAGAGAATGCCTGCCGCCATTTTGAGAGGCGCTACTCCCGGACCGCCACCATCTTAGAAAAGGGCAGTCGGCAGTCGCGCTGTCTCTAAAGAGGCCGTGCACTGCATACCGATGCACCTATTAATTTCCCCCCGAAACGGCCATTTTAAGTGTGGGCAAGTTTATCAAAGGACATTTTGGAACAGGGCAGAGGACTCCCTTCCCCCACATAGAGCGCTATCCCGAAGCGCCATTTCAGAAAAGGGCAATTGGTTCCATTACCATGGCAACCGACTATTCACCGCAGCCTTATTGATTTATTTAAATTTTGTTTTTAAAGTGCTACTGAAAGGCTCAGTGGTATCCTCCACTTCAGGCGCCTGTTGCTTTTCTCCCCATAAACCCAGCCGCGGTAATTCTATAAATTATTCTACTTCACAGCACTTAAAAATTACTATCCTCTCGTTGTTCTCTCCTCACTTTCAATGAATTAATTATCTAGTTAAAACGCACACAAATGCGCAGTTTTGACTACTGAGATAGGAACATAGGAAACTGCCTTATGTTGAGTCAGACAATTGGTCCATCTTGCTCAGTATTGTCTACAGTCTACACTGACTGGCAGCTGCTCTCCAGGGCTTCAGGAAAGAGTCTCCCAACTCCACCCAGAGATGCTGCAGATCGAACCAGGGACCTTTGGCTTGCACTGAGCTATGGCCCTTCATATTGCAATAACCGGAACAATGTCATCAATCAAAGGGCCAGTTCATTTGCTGACAGATTTATTTAATATATATATACAGTGGTACCTCGGGTTACATACGCTTCAGGTTACAGACTCCGCTAACCCAGAAATAGTACCTCAGGTTAAGAACTTTGCTTCAGGATGAGAACAGAAATCGTGCTCCGGCGGCACGGCAGCAGCAGGAGGCCCCATTAGCTAAAGTGGTGCTTCAGGTTAAGAACAGTTTCAGGTTAAGAACGGACCTCCGGAACAAATTAAGTACTTAACCCGAGGTACCACTGTATAAGTAAGACATCCGTGAAAGTGGTTTAAAGGTTTTTATTACAAACATAGGAGTTTATATACGCAGAAGAACAAAAGCAGCCAGCCATACTAAGCAAACTAGATTATTAGTTTATTTTTAGTACTAGGCCTTAGCCATGGCATATGCATAATAAGTACTTGTGTCTCTGAGCATGGGCAGACTGTTCCTGAATAGCCACAGCTAGCTCTCAAAACATTTGGGATTTCTGGCAGGATTTCTATGTCAAAGGAGGTGATTTTTGGAGCAGGTGCGAACTGCAGTATTTATTTTCTTAGGAATTAATTGCCTGGATAGCTCTGTTGGTTAGTGTATGGTGCTGATACCACAGAGGTTGCAGGTTTGATCCCCATATGGGGCAGCTACATATTTCTGCATTGCAGGGGATTGGACTAGATGATCCTCAGGGTCCCTTTTGCGTCTACAATTCTCTGATTTCTAGTCCTAACCATTCTTGGAAGACAGAATTAAGTATGACTTCAACTATGTCATTTTCCACCACGTAAAACAAAACCAAATAAAAATAGTCACAAATAGTCTCCTTTCCTACTTATTCTGCACTTACCAGGGCGTAATCACCATTGATTCCAATGGGGCTCAATTTTGAGGGATTACATAGGAGTGCGCCTGTTAGTACCTCATTCACCTTTCTCCCTTTTTCTTATTCAAAAGGTTATCCACTGGATTTCAGCAGGACATAGGGACTGACGTGACTTGCCTGCTAGAGAAGGAGTATTGTACTTACATGGTGAGTTTACATTGAAGCAGCTCACTTAGTCAGCTACGAATGATTATGCCTCTGTGTGAGTAGAGAACTTTAGAAGATTCTGCTGACAAAGTTGCACTAATTCTGTATTTTGGATTTTTGACCAAACTCTCAAGGAATTCAAGAAGTATGAGGAGATGTTATTATATGTAATATCCTTTTACTGAAAGAGATTTCCCCAGAACCCAGCCAATATGGGTGTGGCTGAGAAAATATAAGAAGCTTTCAGGGAGAGGACAATTTGAACTATAAAATCCCTACTTTTGTGTCAGGGGCAGTGGGAACACACAAAGTTTTTGGGATCGCCAACTTTTGAAATAAAAAAATGGTGGCTGGATGTGGAGCCAAGTACAGATCTGGCAGTGGCAGAGTCAGGTTTTGGGGGGTTGATCTAATAATAATAATAATAATAATAATAATAATAATAATAATTATTATTTCTATTTATACCCCGCCCTCCCCAGCCAAGGCTGGGCTCAGAGCGGCTTACAAGCAATAATAAATCTAGCCAAGTCAGAGTTGTCAGAGTCCTCTAGATCCTAAGGTGTAAAGCAAAATACACGCACACACTGGTTAAAGGATAAAATAGCAAAATCCTCTTGCTCTTGAGTGGTTTAAAAATGGCAGGAGAGAGCAGCAAAAGGCCCACCGCCTCAAGATGTATGCCTTTAACAGCTGCATGGCAATGCCACTGTAGAATATCTGGATTTTTTACTGTCAAACACATGAGAAGTCCTTGTCAAGACAAAGAAAGGTGACAACCTTACTGTGCAATCTCCTGTGTCACTGAGTGCATACTCAACTAGGTGAAAATAAAATAAAAGGGCAAAAGCAATACTTCAATCACAGCATAAGCTCCTTTCACCCACCCTAGTCCATTATATTCATGTGGATTTTGCTTATTCTTGCATACACTCCCAACATTTTAAATTGAAACTCCCAATTGAGTTCCCCAATTTTCATACTTACTGAGCCCTCTCCACTGTACAAACAGTGTACACTCAGGTCTCAGTTCAGAGCCTTGTGTCAACAGAAACCTGAATGTACACTGTTGGAGGCAGTAGTCCTCTGAATGCCAATTGCAGGAACTCCGAGGAGCGGGAGAGTGCTGTTGCACTCGGCTCCTTTCGGGCATCTGGTTGGCCACTGTGAGAAAAAGGCTCCTAGACTCAATGTGTCATTGGCCTGATCCAGGCTCTTCTTACGTTCATTTTATTACAAACTGAATTTAAAAGATTCATGGGAAAACCCGACATTCAGCAGTGGCACATGCCATTCTTTAAAATAACACCACTACCCAGTTTTGCTAAAAAGCCCATAATTGTTCCTAGATATCAACAATATTTATTTATTTAATGACTTAATCAGCACATATTTACCTGGCCTTTCAGCCGAAAAGGTTCCCAGAGTGGCTTACAAAGATCAGAAATAGGAGAGTCCCTGATCTCGGGATTACAAAGTCACGGCACGAAAGAAGAGATTGCGAGGGAAGAAGAAAAAAAAATGCAAACTCAGACTTTAGTTCTAAATTGCAAAGTTCTTGCTGGAATAGAAATGGTTCAAGCAGAAGAGGAGACAAACCCATCTCTCCCTCTGCTGAAACCTGATGGAATGGATGTGACTGAATGATAGTTGGGGGAGAGGGGAAGCCTGATGGAGCTGGTTTCTCAGCAGAGTTGATAGAGTGGTCTTGCCTTGCTTCTCTCTCTCTGCTGCAATCTGCCTGTCCAGGCATAGCTAGATTTAGTTCTGTTAAGAATAACAAGCACCAACCATTTTCTTTTTGTTTGCAAAAGTGAAGGGGATTCTAACTTGCCGTAAGCAACTTGGTAAATAACTTACAAGCCTGCTTAAGAAACAAACAGAAAGAGTTCTTAAAATCTGTTGAAACTTTTATCCAAGGGCTGCCAAGTAGAGACAAAACTTGCTCCCTGGGAAACCAGTTCCCAACCCCAGCAGCTCCTGTGTTTTGCACCAGTGCTTCGCCTTGGCCAGATATCCACACTACAGGACTCCCTACTGCTTTGGCCTTAGTACAGCGCTCTCTCCGCTGCCCCACCCCCGCCTTGTGTCTCTGAGATTACAGCAATCCCAGTTTCCTTTGAATCCCAGCCCTGCAGGCTGCCATCTATCCTCAGCAGGATCATAAATTGCTAACAAGCATGTCCCGAAGCCTGCCGGCTGCCACGGCTCAGCCAGAAACTTGCTGTGTGCAGTCGAGCGGTAGGGTCGCATCCCATAATGTGACAAGGCAGGCAGCGCACCGGCAGGTTCTGGTGGCGGGCAGCTGAAGCTGCTGGCTGCTGGTGACAGTGACAGTTGGATGCTGTACGATAGTAAGCCAGCGCTGAAAGGGCAAGGAAGAAGAGAAACAGCAGCTTGAGAAGTTGGAGGGCATCAGCAGGGGGCACCACAGTAGAGGCAACACAGCACTTCAGGGTCAAATCAACGTGTCACCAGACTCCTACCTTTTGAACGAGGGCAGGTGCTGCTATATGTTTGTTACAGCACATGGGGATAACCCAACAGTTATGAAGTCCAAGGTTGTGCCACACTTTAGGGTACCATTAAAAGGCAGGAAACTGGCAATGATTTGGTTTACTCGATGTGCTTTTCACCTGGGTGGCATTTTTGCATTGTCTGTCTTGAGCTGCCTCTGAGAACAGAGGTGAAGAACCTTTCTGGCAGGTTGAGAGGTGTCAAGTTCCTGAATGCTAAAAAAAAAAAAACAATTTGGGAGTCTTGCAGCCTTTTTTAACATTTCTTCTGGCAAGGCTCTGGTGCCTTAAAACAGCTGCATGTCAGCCAGAAATTCAATAGGTGAGGCTCCTCCTCTCAGCATGAGGAATGCTTTTACTCATTGAATTTTTCTCTATGGTGCAGCTAAGAAAGGTTCCAGGAACTGCCAGAGCAAGGCAGCAACCCTAACTTTCCAGAAGGGCCATAGCTCAGTGTTGTGGCACCTGCTTTACTTGTGTAAAGTCCCCATCATCTCTTGTCAAAAATATTGGGTAACCCTGCCTAACATGTCGGGACAGACTGGTTTGAATCATGAAGTTGCTTCTTTATATCTGCTAACAAACCAGGTCCTGAAGCCAGATGCAGGGGGGGGGGCAAGGAGTTGAGTGTTAGTTAGTTGTGGAGTGGGGCAGTTCCTCCTTGGTTAGAAGCCACCTGGCTAGTCAAAAGACCTGCACAAATAATTTGCCAGGGTGGTTTGCTTTCCATCTCGGGCTTTTCCTTTCAGCTCAGCCTCAGCTTTCTCTTATTTATAATGCCTGTAACACTTTTCAACGTACGATGGGATTTGCAGTTGTCAGCTCATAACAACAGCCCTGTGAAGCCAAGTTGTTAGGCTGAGAGACTGTGTCTTTCCCAAGGTCACACAGTGAGCTTCATGGCAGAGCAAGGAGCTGAAATAGTGCTTCACACCCAAGGCTGTGTGCAAACAATAATTCCTGAAGAGCAGGTGTAGGGGTGTGTTTGTGTGTATTCATAGAATCGTGTGTGTGTGTGTGTGTGTGTGTGTGTGTGAGAGAGAGAGAGAGAGAGAGAGAGAGAGAGAGAAAGACTTTCCTCTTAAAGCAGTCTTTCCCGACACTAGCTCCAATCCCACTGCTGCACAAATGTGACAAACTCTTCTGATACCCTTCTGATAGCCAAATCAGCACCAGTGAATTCCCACTCACTCACACCTGGGCATCAGGTATGTGCCCAGCCTCATCTATCCCAAGCTGCAAGCAAATTTCTCTCAAAATTTGTACTTGTGGGGAACTGCAGCAGTGCCTGCCTCAGTCCCAGAGCCCTTTCAAGCATGTGACCATTAGATAAAGAATCGGTATCTCCGTAGAGTCAGTACCCTAAAGCTGACAGCTTACCTCAGTGTCCTACTTCATGAGCACAATGCGCTTTTTTTGTCCAATTAGGGTAAACCAAAGAAGAGTTTTGTTAGGATAGGAATGACCGGTTGGATAAAGAGTAAGAGGAATACAGAACAAAGTTGCTGAACAAAATAAAATACAAATGCAATTTCTAGTTTATACTCGTGCTCCTTCCAACGCAACTGATTTGTGTATGTGTGCTGGTGTGAGTGGGACCCAAATTCCCTCTTTTAAGGTAAAGATCCAGCCCTTCCAAGCTTTAAAAGCCCTCCCCAGTTATCTCAACCTAGAGTGGGTTTTTTTAAAACCAGCCTGTAACATACTGAGTTAATTTAGGAGGTTTCCCTGAGGACTGCTGGTGATGTCTTAGTGATAGAACTCATGCTTTTCATGCAGACGTTCTGCGATTCAGCTCCTAGTGTCTTGAGACCTTGGCAAGCTGCTGGGAGTCAATAGTATACAGTACTAAACTAAATGAGTCAACGGCAGTTTCACACATGAGTGATCGCTAGCTTTGAGGAGAGTCCTGGGCAAACAATCCTCTGGTGAGCCCCTTCCTCTGTCAGCGAGCCCTGGCAAACTTAGGAGCCTGTATCCCTTCCAAGCAGTTGCGGGCAACTGGGTCTCTCAGCCCTTTAGTTTCCCCACAATGCTCCAGAGCAACGTTGGGTTGAGAGCAGAGTGGAAAAATAAAAGAGTGGCTCGATCTAGCCTTCTTTTGTTGCTCAGAGTCCCTCAAAGGACACTGAGAGGGTGGACATCTACATTGGGATCCCTGCACAGGGGACCTGGCAGCTGCCCAAGGATGTCAGGTGCTGACAGCAGCCTAGTGGCTCCAGCTCCTGCTGCTATCTCAGTAGGAACATAGGAAGTTGCCTTATACCAGATCAGGCCATTGGTCCATTGAGCCCGTATTCTCTATTCTGATTGGCGGTGGCTCTTTAGGGTTTCTGATGAAGGTCTTCCCAAGCCTGTCCTCCACTCCAGAGTCATGATCTCTGCAGGAGCTCTCTCCCCTCCAAAGCTGGCCATATGGACTTCCTTTTGCCCCCTTTGCTTCTCTCCTTCTGAATTTCCCTTTTTTATCTTGTTTAATCTAGC